GCTAGCTGTAGCCATTTACATCCAGCCTTTGTGCTAAGCTAGGCTAGCGGTGGGTGCGTCAGACAGAGTTACAGCACGCACATAGATGAAAAAGGTATGTATGGACTTATCTAACTATGGGGGATATGGTGAATAAGCTAAAGTCCCAAAAAGTTGGAGTGTTCCTTTAACATATTGTTAAAAAAGGAATATAAAGCATTGTTTCTCCGTCATTTACGTGGGTGTGCTAAATATCACAGTGGTGATGATACACTGTATAAGCTGCTAATCCAAAGTTGAGATATTATTTGCCAACTGTACCATTTGTTCATGTATGGACACATTTCATATGGCCAATTCGAACCGACTTTTCACTGACAGAGTGTTTAAGATAAAAATGGGGGCTGATACACAGGCTTATATGTATAAATATTTGCTCTATAAGAGATGTAAACTTGCAAGAAATATATGTAACAGTCAAACTTTTTAAAGTAATATTGAGACATATTGCATAGTGATAGCCTACATTAACTATTATTAAGGGGGATGGGAGTAAGGCTATACAGAAGACAGAGTGAGTTGAAAAATGGTTTTTAGGGCCCTCGAATCAAATATTAGCAGTAAACTAAATGTTTTACACATGAACCAAAACATTTTAAAAGCAGCTTACTTCTCATTATTTTGTTTCTTAAACAAATCAACAGACAGTTTGTCATTTCTAAAATAAAATGACCACAAGGGACACAGACCAAGCAAGTGTCCTGAATTTATATTAAAGAGCCCCTATCATAGCATTTGAAATGTTCCTATTTTTGTTTTGGGAGTTCCCAAAAACAGTTAAACGTGCATGCAAGGATAAAAAACACTTTATTTGTCTTATAATATGCATTTATTTTTACCCGATTTGCTCAACGACTCCCAAATGATTCGTTCGACGATTCATTTTCCCAAACACCTCTTTTGAGTGACGCGAATCTGCGGCGATTGGTCAAATGACCCAGTCAGTTGTTATTGGTAAACCGTAGGCAGAGACTGTCGGCAACGGAACGCTCATAACCAGGATTATAGCTTGTCAAGTGTTGAAAATTGTGTATAGTGTTTGAACAAACGTGTCAGAAAAAGTGCACTTTCAACACGGTCCCTTACTCGCGTCTCCGTCAAGAGCGAGCTTTCCCGGCGAAACTCACATTGCGGTGGCTTTTGAGGGGCAGTGCTTATTATATAGAGCGAAGTCATATTTGGCTAAGTCGTTTAGGAGGTAATTGCCATTTTTCAAAGAATGTCTGGTGAATATCAAAAACAAAACTAACTTTACCCCGCTTAGAAGCTGCGCGGAGTGTACACAACACACACAACACAATATAACTATATTGTGCATGCTACAGAAAACATAAAGGCAAACATTATTAATAATACTTACAGATTGTGATTTGGAGGAGGACGAACCTGATCCATATACACTGCATACTGAGCCCTCCTTCGGGAACAACCGGCTTGGGAATCCACATTTGAATTAATTTATGTTTTTGAATGATTCGTCATTAAAATGATGAGAACACAAGGTTCGGGCTATACTGTTGTGGTATCGTTGCAAATATGAACTCTAACCACTGATTCTTCACATGCTCGTCCCTGGGCAATGAAAACAAGTGGCTGAACTGTCTTTGCAATGTAAAACATTGAGAATGTTATGTATCTACGTCACGACGTAACAGCTAATGACTCGTTTCAAAAACAATTCATTTCATAGACTCAGAGTCGACTCTCACTTTTGAAAGACAATAACTTTATATACGGTGCACTTTCAGATATAAATCTTTGCAGGATGTTTTCATTCCCTTAGAGCTATAGTCCACACTACATGAACAGTCATTTTCAAAAATCCATTATAGGTGCTCTTTAAGGTTCAGATATCGAAGATCACTTTGAAAATCAGAGACTCAAAATCTGATTTAAAACTGGAAAGTGCTTAGATTCTGACAACAGCAAACAAACAAACAAATAAAATAATAATAATAAAAAAAACACAAAACAAATGTCAGGTCAGGTCAATCAATTAATGTTAGTGATCAGGTCACTAATTAAAAATGCAAATTTTTTCACTGTGTGAACTTTGAACAAAAGGTCAGATTGCTTTGCTTCCACTGAAACACATTATTTGGGACCAGTAGCGGTTTTAGGCACGGGCGAACCGGGCAGTCGCCCGGGCGGCATTTCTTCATGTCAGATGGGGGGCGGCACGAGCAGTTAAAAAAATCCTCTGTGCCGCGAAGGTTTTCTATTTTTTTATAATTTTTATTCAATTATTGGCAATGGCGGCCCTGCTTGCTGAGAAGGAGCCGTTCACGGAAGCAATGTCAAGAGGGTCTCTTGATTAGTTCACGTATCGCGTCTTTTGCGCGCTCGAGGTCGTTATTTCAAATAGGCGCACGCACGGGAAGCGCGCTCATTATGCGCTCACGGGAAGCGTGCTCATAAACTTTTCAGCACGTGCACCCAAACACTTGGGTGTTTTTCTCTTCTCCGTAAATAAATCTTTTAGTAGAGCTACAGCAAGTGTTTTTCTGTGGTGGAAATACATTCGCTACTAAAACTTCTCTGTCGTTGTGGAGAGCGCAGTGCATGGTTGTATAGCAACGACAGCCATGGGGAAATCGGACCAAATTTTACTATTAATAATAAAAGATAAGCTACTGTGCATTATAAATGTCAGGAATGTATCTTTATTGACTCATTCTTTTTATAGAGATGATTTAAATGCTGAAATATGAGGTTTATCTTTTTATAAAAACCTTTTTTTGTGTTAACCTTTTTTTAAAGGTGCATTGCGCAACTTTTCATGTTAAAAATAGCCGTTTTCTAACCCATACATGCTTAAACAATCGCCTGATGGGCTGAATAAGCCCTTCTTTGATCACTGCGATCGCCTCTATAACCCTGTACAGTGAAATATATAAGAGGGATTCGGGCTCGAATCTGAGACTGGGCGTGACGTCATGCGCGTTCACGCTCGCCTGGCTATGTCTGGCAGGTTCGTGTAGCTATTCGCCGCCGTTCTCCGTATCAGAGAAGACAACTCGAGCGACACAACTCTAGTCAGCTTTCCACAAAAGTAAACGATGGATTCAAAGGGGCTGTTTAGCCTACACCTGGTCACTTCATGTGTCTTCTGTGATCGGATAGCTATTCGATCGTGAAAAGACCAGGGTGTAAATACCCTCCGAAACGCATTCGAGACGGATTTGAATTCGATCGCTCAAACCACTTGAGGACGTGGTCTGTGCCGTATTCCAGACGAAACTGGACAAGTGTAAATGCATCTGGTTGTTGAAACCAAGCTATATGTCATGATATTTTAGTCATATACGACGCGCATCACCTGAGCAGCTGAGCTGAGCCCCTTCAACAAGCGCCGCAATCTATCGCAAATCAAAGTGAATTAGTGAAAGTAAGTCGCAGACGCTTAACACTACCATCTTCATTAAAAGTAAAGAAATGAAATGATCTTACCAGGCCTGTTGCCGATCTCTCTTATTGCTGTCTTTGCTGATTTTGAAATTAGCCGATGATTAATAAAATCCAGCTCATATCTGTTGCTTTCGGTGACGTGCATTTCATTAAATCTGTATATGGCGCGGAAAGAGACCGGCTTGTAGCTCATTACAAACCCCAACGCAAACTCCACGTGAGACAGAAAATAAAACTTCTGTCTGTCCAGTGCCATGCGTCGGAATAAGACGAGAGTCAACATCGGGAAGCTTTCAACAAACGGAGAGATCTCCGGTCGTCTCTAGGGCTCAAACGAGTCATAGCCTATACAAAGTGATAACTGAACGTGTTTCCATAATAATTCAATCATAAGTGGATACAGTAAGCACAGGGAGATAGATGGAAACAAAAACCGAAGTTTTCTACTACCCCCGTTTCCCCCTCTCACACACATAAGTGTGTAATTTACTCGAATGCCTTTCCTTTCATATATTTTAAATGACTTGCAGATTTATTACTGTATTACCTCATTATGACTGTAACAAAAGATGTGTGCCGCACAGTGTGCGGCTGATGCTCCTTAGTTATGAACAGCTCGTGCAAACGTGCGTATGTGTGTTCCTCCATGAACGCGCACAGCTCTGGTTGCAGTTTCGCTTGTCGCCAGAGGGGGCGTAGTTCTGCAAAAACTCAGAGACTTGCGTTTAGCTCCTTTAAGTTTAGTGGGTAAGATAAAAGACACTCCTTTAAAACAAATATTTAAATGTTATTAACTTGGTGAATTGATTTCATTGAGTATTAGGCTTTTTGAACACGATTTTGGTCACTTTATTCATGAAATGAAAATAATTTTCATAATGATCAACTAAAATCAACTTTAATTATGTGTTTTCTTTTTTTTTTTTTTACAGTAGCCTATAATATGCAAAGTGCAATGTTCTATTTTCTAAATAATCTCTGATTCTGTCCTTTTCTCTGACATTTTAAGAGTGACATAGGGCTACAAAAGCTATTTTAGGTCTATAACAGTTTGGATAGTTGTTAATATGAGAGCTGTTCGAAATTATTTAAGAGATAGCCTAAGTATTGTGTTAATACATAAGTATCTCTCTGACCCTTTCACTTTTAAAAACTCCATTTCGTGACAAAGTATAGTTTAACAAGTCATAACTAAAAGTGTGCCATGCATATAATTCAAGGCAGTAACCAATGTGCTAATGGTTCCTACCTTGAAAGTTAGATTAATCTAGCAAAATAACTGGATTCTATTAACTGTGTCTTTCAAATGAACAGTATGTGATTTTATTGTTGGGTTGTTGTGCATGATATCATTAAAGAAAAGGGGAGACATTCCAAATACTGAATATTAAGTACATATTAAATAATAAATCCTGTTCATAAGAATTTCAAATTTTCATGCATGCTGTTAATATCATTTTTAAATTAAAATCATTTTTTGTCTTTTGACTCTGGAGGTCATTTGCCAGTTTGGGTGTACTGTATATTGTGATGACCAGATTAGCAAATCTAACCTGAAAACCGAAGGAGGTGTCATCCATGGCCGGAGGAGGCGGGAAGCTGGAAGGGGACGGGAGCCCACTAATGTCAATGGCAGATGGAGGAGGCGGAGGATAGTCCCCTGTTAAATAAAATATATAAAAAATGAGAGACAGCAAGAAAACATACAATCAATCAAACATGTTTAAAGGCAAGACACCATAAGTACTATGATAAACTCTCTTCCTCAGGGATGAATCAATCCACAAAAGGTCGGAGTGGGTGGAAAACTTTTGTAAAATCTGATCGATCAAGCTGACATAAATCGAACACACCTAAATGTCACAAGAGGCCAGATGAAAGCTTTAAGGAATATAATACTTTCACATAAAATGATGATTAACTACATTTTGGTTATATATGAAGAGTTCAGATGCAAAAGCCTCTAAATGCCATTTGGAATTTTCTTCTTTAATGATGATTTTTATCAAGCTTGTATATTTAAGTTCAGTAATTTCACTTAAATGGCAATGATAATTACCTATTAATTGTTATTTAAGTGAAATTACTGAACTTAAATATATAGTTTGATAAAAATCATCATTAAAGATGAAAATTTCAAATGGCATTTAGAGGCTTTTGCATCTGAACTCTTCATATACAGCCTTCTTACAACATCCCAGCCCATGTAAGTACTTAAAAGTGTTAGAGTGTGTAAAACTTGAAAGGAAGGGAGGCTTACACACACTTACCATATTGTCACTGATAGATTAATACATTTAACAGCAACTATTTGGTAAACTAAGATGGTCTAAGCCATAAGTAGGTGTTTGTACAGATTGAAAATGTAAGTACTGTGCTCAAAACAAGTTAGATGGGACATTTGTTTAGCCAAGTGTGTGGCAATAAGCCAATCGCAGAGTTGTAAAGTCCACAGCTAATCCAGGGATTGGGTTCCACTGCATGTTTCAGGCAGGATCAAAATCTGCTTGCCAAATTATATTCTGATTTGGCTGCGCTCGGCGTCCAATTTAGGACTGAATCATTTGACCGTCTAAGTACCAATCCACAAGTGAGCTTTCCAAATTACAGCATTTTAGAGGCATTAGGAATACACTGCTTTATCATGAGTCTTTGGATGTATTTTTATTCTAGTTTATTTTCTCATTATTGTTTGTATCTGTCGTTTGGATCTAATTGATGTCGGAAATTTTGTTTATCCAAGTCTACTTGCCGAATTAATTAACTACGGTCTTGAAAAGACTAAAATCCTGAAATATGAATGCAGACAGAATATGTCACATGCCTAACTCTTGTACAAAATAAAATTGCTATGAACATGGCATCAAAAATCCCCCAATAGGACATTACGTGAACTGTAATAACCTTGTGACCTCTGTAAAAACTCAAGCACTGATATAAGCGTCCTACTTTCCCCTTTCTCCTCCTCTGGTGATCTCTATTTATACTTTTCTTTGCCTTAGCTAACATCCTAAAGTCACTTGTAAGTTGCAAGTTGACATGAAATTATTATCTCAAGTTCCTTAATACCTTATGTCTCTCCGTCATCCAATGATTTTTTGGATTTCTCAATTCACGGCAACACGAGAGATGTAAATGTTTCAAAGATGGCATGATTTATTGAGGAGCTCTGGAAGACCTGGTCAAAGAGAGATCAAGAGATGGAGGTATGGGACAATACCTAGCTTGAACTACAGAGCAAACGGAAAGAGGAAGTTAGTCTTTGACAAAACGTGGCTAAGAACAGACAGAAAGACCATATTACCAGCCTGATCTTATGAGAAAATCCAACTATTTTGAATAAATAGTATGAATAAATCATAAATCTGTATGAATTTGTACAACTTCAGTCATACGAAAACAAGATTTTTAGAAAAAAAGGTCCAAAAAATGTACAATAATAATAATAATGTAATAATGACCAGTTAGACTCTTTTTTTAATGTCAAAAGTCTAGAACCTCTCAACGACAGTCAATATTCACTCAAAACGAACATGATGGAGATGACCTAATATCAAGTGAGCTGCCTTCATAGGAGATGCAGCCTTCCAAATATGAAGGTTGATATAAAAGCTAAAGTATTTATTTGTTTTGGCCACATTATAAAGGCAAAATTACATTTATCTTTCACAGAGAATCAAATGAAAAGAAAAAATGGCAGATAAAAGAAATTCTTACTATACTACTGTTCGAAATTTTTAGTAATGTTATAGTATTAGTCAGTAAGGTTTTTATAGTAATTAATATTTTCTATTAATAATAACAATTTATTTATTAAGTAATTTGTTCTCATTGGAGTGCGTTATTCGTTCATAGCACAGAGTTGATGCCTAAGGCCAGGTCCACACAAAGTCGGTGCGTTCCCTATCCGATTTTTTTTTCCTCGTTCTAAAGAAAAATCCATAAACACAGCGTCGTCTCAAGAAATATCTGCGTACACATGAAACTACTGAAACCGACTGAAAACGGTGTACAGTGAAAACGGTGAAGACGAAGATGGCGCGCGGCGCAGTCGACGTGATGACATCATCGTTTCACAAAATATACAGATTGGCTGTACACACGAAAGCGCAAGGGTATCGTTTTCAGATTTATCCATTTTGGGACCCGGTTTAAAAAAATAGCGGTTTCACTCTCCCAAAACGCCAGATCCGTGTGGACGAAACGCCAATACGGTAAAAAATGTATACGTATACAGCGAAACGCGTCTTCGTCTGGACGGGCCCCAGTAGCGGAGTGGCAATCGAGAGAGTCGGGAGTTTTCCCGGTGGGCCGGTAGTGTTTGGAGGCCGCGAGGACCGAAGTTCGCCATGGCCCAAGCTAAGGAAAGAAAACATTTTTTTTTTTTTTTACATTTTCTATAACGGAGCATATATTTGCACTAAGTGCCTGTCTTTACAGCAAAACGACAACCGTCTTGAAACAGCCTCAGTGGCGTAGGTCATAGGGCGTGAAGTACTTGAAAGCAGCTTTTTGATGCGCTGAACGCGAGTTCGAATCCGCCTTGCCGAACTCTCTCTTCTCCCTTTTCCCAACACAAATATGTAAAGATGTAAAATGTAAAACCTAACATTAAGGTCTCTAGCGTTATATTTTGCCAACGAACTAAAATTGAAACCATGAATATATATGGCGTTGCGCCATTATAATAACTGACATTAGAATAGCATCCAGTTTGTGCTGCGTGATTACTTTGCTCACGTGTCAGGCTGCTGGTGTTTTCTCCTAAATAAAAGCTCAAGGGTTTATTTCTTGCAAGTGAAGAAATTAGGACAAAAGTATTTTAACTTTGCTATATTATAGTGTAATGTAGGTTAAAATATATTTTGAAATACTCATTTTCATTTACATAGTATACATTTATAGGCTATAAATGGATTTTACAGTACGTCATAGGAATAAATCATTATTACATTATTATAATAGGCTAATTGTTTGGCATCCTAAAACACCATTGATAATGTAATGCAGACTGAGACTCTCATAACTAAAAAGATGTTTGAGCCCTGTTTATTGTCCTGGTACAAATTAATGTTTTTTCTTTGTTCAACAAGCAGTTCACGGGTTAAAGCTCTTAATTTCGATCTCTCAGAGTGCACGAGATCGATGCATTATAACCTTAAAATGTCCAAAATTTTCTTGCGGGGGAGCATGCCCCCGAACCCCCCTAGAGGCACAGAGTCCTCCCAACATAGTTTTAGGAATTACTATGGGAAAGAACGACCATTTATGAACTTTACTCCAGCATAATACAACAAAGTTCCTTTTAAATCAGTAAAACTGTAAATGCTATCGGCTATTAAAATCGTGCCGGCGACGAGGGCCGGTGGTCTACGAAATTTCCCGGTACATTTTTTGGTCCCACTCCGCCCCTGACGGGCCCTAAGTAGTGTTCTTACTAAATAGTCACTTATGAGGTTCCATTCAGGTTAGTAAGGCAATTGTATATTTTGGCAGATACGGCAAGGCAGCTCAAGTATTGGAACAGAGTTAACACTTGTCGTTCCCTCACAAATGAGAACAGTCAATCAGTAACACTTGCGGTGCCTAGCATGAATCATCAGGCCAACTTCATGAGCAAAACAGGTAACACCATATAATGGGAAAATTAGCCTGCCAATTGAGATTTAAGTCACTCACAGCTAATACTAAATAGGTCTCTGCCTTGTGACACAGTGTTACGAAAAACAAATACGGACATTACGGACAAACACGGACAGTTAGGTGTCTGGTCAACGAGTTTGGGGACATGTTATCCGGTTGCTGATTCAACTATGGAAAAACCAGGGGGCCCCTGTGCCATGAATGAGAGAGGCTCCATTTATGCCGCCCAGGAAGCAAAGGCAGTGCTTACTCGCTAATGAGACAAGCAGCAGGAACACCTAGTTATTACCACACATTTCCACTCAACTCTTTATTGAGCAATTACACTCAAGTACCGGCTTTGTGAGAGCCGAATTCTAATCAGTAATTAAAGTTATTTGAAGGGACCATGAGAGGTATAATTGGTAATCAGGAACATGAATGTTGTTAAGGGTTGAGTTTTAAAAGGAAAAAAGAAAAACATGCTTTAGATGAAGCCAGTGAAGCATAAGAGCGGAGATGAAATACACTTCCAGTAACGGGACGATTATGTGTGCATTTTTGAGAAGTGACCCGTAAAAAAAGGGTTTTATTCCAATCCAATCATGCGCTTATGCAGCTGTATTATGTGTTTGTGTACACAGTAAGCTCACTTTATAACACAGCCTGCAACATAATTGTATTCTCCGCACTGAAAAGAGTGGTGATTGACAAAGAAGTCAAGATATAATTCAGTCCGACCTTAAATTACGCATACTGTATGATACATTTCAGTATGTAAAGAGCGGGGGGAGTCCCCCCGCTCTTTTCAGACTGGCAAAGCAGTTCTAATTACTTTTAGACAGCGATGAGACAAGTCCTAAATCTATGTACTGTAGTATCAATGTGTATGAATTAAACTGCAAAATATACTTATTCAACATTCTACATAAATCACCCATATGTGACCAAATTTCATGATAGGCGACTAACTAATTGCTTACCGTAATTATTGTACATGTGAAATAAAGAAAACAGTTACAAACTGAAACAGGAAGT